TAATCCCACTGTCAGAGATGCCCTCTTTAGGACCAGATACTAAACCAGGATCCCATCTGCACTCTCAAGTTGTCCTCCAAGTGCAGGTGGAGGAATGGTCGTTCACCCATCTCAGTTGGGGTGGCGGTGAGGGAGGGATCCTTCAGTTAAGAATAGATCAACTGCAGGCATACGGCAGCATCCCTGCCTCTGAGCCCGAAGGCCCCGGTTCAAGTATCACCCAAGGTATGTAATCACATCACTGAACAGGTTGATAAAAAAATAAAATGAACCAAAGGGTCTGTTTCCTTGCCATATGACTCTATAGGGGAGGTGATGGCCTAGTGCTACTATCACTGAACTGTTAATCCAGAGACACAGCTAATGCTCTGGGGACCCAGGTTTAAATCTTGCCACAGCAGATGATGGATTTTGAATGTAATAAAAATCTGGAATTAAGAGTTTAATGATGACTACAAATCGATTGTCGGGAAAAGCCCATCTGGTTAGGGAAGGAAACTGCCATCCTGATCTGGTCTGGCCTACATGCAATTCCAGACCCACAGCAACGTGGTTGACCCTTACCTGTCCTCTGGGCAATAAATGCTGGCCCAGCCAGTGACACCCACATCTCATGAATGAATTAAAAAAAAAAACTCTACGAGCAGATAATCTACTTCTTTAGGCGTTTGAGGGATAAGTAATCGGCCAGGACTCTCCTGCTCGGAATTGTACCGTAGGATCCTGAGAGTTGGTTTGACGTCGTGCCCACCAGTGCAGCACTCCCTACAATACTACAGCGAGAGCGAGGGCCGGGACTGTGAGATCAAGTCTTGGGAGTGATTCGGAGGTCAAAGTGCAATTGGCAACGTCAAGCTTGCCACGAAAACAAAAAGGAGACCCCCCTCCCCCACCCCCACCCATTCTTCCCCAAGAATGATCCTGCATCACAGCTTGTTACTCGGTGACAGGAACTTGCAACTTCTTTTAGAGCTAACTTCCTCAACAATGAGGCTGTTTCCTGTTTTGTATCGTTTACTGTCCTGGATTCGATTGTGGTGCCCGAGGGTGTGGAAGGGGAATTCTGCCATGTCAGAGCCTTCGGTGTTTACAGGCGACATTTCCTTTGCTTTAAAGAAACAATATTTTCCTTAGGCCCCACAACCTCATCAATGCACAGCCCCCCTTCTCTATGAAATCTACTGACTTGCTGTGGGGAAATGTGCACGTGTTTGGGTATATCAGGGTGTGTGGGGCAGGGGAGCGGGAGCAGTATGCTCCATCTGGGGGCTGTGACACAAACTAACCCACATGGCACTACATCTGATCATGCCCACGTGGGTGTGGAGGGTAGGGGTGGTCTTTGGCATTGAAGTAGACGTACAGGCCTACACCAAGCCTATGACTGGGTTTTATGAGCCTATCCGAGCAAACAGCTTCTGAGTGGAATTATAGGCCTACCCTAGGTTCCAACAGCTTCAGACTGTGTTTACAATCTAACCCAAGCACCAATGTATGCATTACAAACAATCGGGCAGAATCCTATTGGGAATTTGATAGTTACCAGTCCAACCTTTAGACTTGTTTCATCTGCGATGAGGAGATCTTGTTCAACATCCACAATCTGGAATTCCAAATCTTCATTCATCCTGTTACATCAGATGTCTTGGCTTCATTTTTTTTTTTTTTTTAAAAACTCATTTTGTGGGATGTGGGCATCACTGGCTGGGCCAGCATTTCTTGCCCGTCCCTAGTTGCCCTCAAGAAGGTGGTGGTGAGCTGCCTTCTTGAACCACTGCATTCCTCCTGCTGTGGGTTGACCCACAATGCTATTTGGGAGGGAATTCCAGGATCTTGACCCAGCGACAGTGAAGGAACGGCAATATATTTCCAAGTCAGGATGGTGAGTGACTCGGATGGGAACTTGGAGGTGGTGGTGTTCCCATATGTCTGCTGCTCTTGTCCTTCTAGATGGAAGTGGTCGAGGGTTTGGAAGGTGCTGTCTAAGGATCTTTGGTGAATTTCTGCAGTGCATCTTGTAGATAGTACACGCTGCTGCTACTGAGCATCGGTGGTGGAGGGAGTAGATGCTTGTGGATGTAGTGCCAATCAAGCGGCAACTGCTTTGTCCTGGATGGTGTCAAGCTTCTTGAGTGTTGTTGGGGCTGCCCCCATCCAGGCAAGTGGGGAGTGTTCCATCACACTCCTGACTTGTGCCTTGTGGATGGCGGACAGGCTTTGGGGAGACAGGAAGTGAGTTACTCGCCACA